TTGTAAAACATCTTTTAAAATTTTTAAAAGAAATTTTAGAAGAGATAAAAAGTGAAAAATTGATAAAAAGAAAACGAGTATCAACTGATTTTTGTAGATGGTTATAATTAAATGTAGAATGAATAAATGATTCAAAATTTTCTTGTTTATTTGTTTTAATTTGTCAGAATTAAATTCTATTTTTCATCATTTCAGTCTTTTTTTCCTTCTGCTTATCAGTTCTGTTTCACAGTGTTTATCACCATTACTATTTAGATATCGTTTTCAGAACGATATATGCATTACTGATACGTAATGTATCTATGGTTGATAATTTTAGATGTCCTGTTTTTTTTTTTGTAATTATCGACGAACAAGTGAAAACAGTGTTGTCGAAACTGAATTATTTCGATAAAAGGCAAAAAAAAGAAGAGGAAAATAGTTGTAAGTTTAAGTTTCTGTTACAGACGAGAGTAGAATTTAAAAATTAGCGAAGCAACGGAGAGAAAAGAAAGAAATGTAAACAGGTTGTCGTTTTTTTTTTGGTTGTCGACTTACTTTTTTATGTTTCTAATCTTTTTTTTTTTTTTGTTTTAATTTCTAAACAACATTTTGGTGTCGTTTTATGCAGGAAGCAGTTTTTTTTTGGGGGTATTTTTGCTGTTGCTGTTCACTGTTAGAATTTGCAGTCATGAAATGTGCTCATGAAATGTGCTCAATTCAGTTACCGATACGTCACGTTCAATAAATTCTCCTCTTTTTCTTTCCCCCTTTCTTGTTCGGATTTTCAATTATTCTAAGCAAATATATTTGTACAATTTTGTTTCTTCAAAAAAAAAAAAGAAAGAAAAAAGATGAACAATATTTTCTGGTGAATATTTTATCAAGCAAAAAAATAAATTTTTGATGACAAACAAAAGAAAAATCAAAAAAAAGAGCATTAAGCAGGAAAAAAAAAAACAGTAAAGAAAACGATATAACAGGAAAGGTTTTCTTTGAATACTTTTGGTTTGTTTTATATCTTTTTTTTTTTCACTAATTTTTGCAATTATTTCAGTAAACATAAAAAAAAAGCTTTTTTTCTGTTTTGTTATTATTTCTATTTGTTTCCAATTTCCAAAACTGATTCAAATGTCTGCTTTTTTTTTTGTTTTATTTGTTGTTGTGCTTTCTTCTTCTCCTAACAATACTGCAAACTTTTATTTTACCGTTTCTCTATCAAAAACTATCTTCTTTTCTTTTCTTTTTTTTTTGCTACTGTTGTTGCTTCTGTTAAAAAATTTGTTCATTTTATGGAACGTTGCTTTGAGAATTTAAATTATCAGTTGTTTTTCAATAGATTTTTTTTGTGTAGTAATAAAAAAAAAAACAGTTGATCAGACAATGGTTTGGTATATTGTAAAACAGCAACGAAACTTAGTGAGGAAGAAATGTTATTGCCCGGTTGGGTTGTCAACTGCAACACTGTAACTGAAATTTACAGCATTTCAACTGCTCCACCAATTTTTCCTCTGCAAAAAATATTCAAAAATTCTATTTTTCTTACTGATGAATAAATTCTGCCCTAAAATATTAGCTGCTATCGGTTTAAAGCTGTACATTCAAAAAAAACCAATATTGTTCCTCAACAATCCAAATGCATCGTTTTGTTTTTGCAGCAATTGGCAAAATCTGTGATTACATCGGCGTGAATAGTCAGTCAGTCGTCTAAATTAGCACAGTATTTTAAGCAAAACCTTATCAAGCCATCCTTAGCACATCTAAGCATTAGCCCAATTATTGTAACTGTTTTTTATAACAAATTCAGAAGAAAAGTTGCATTCTAATGGTATTTAGATGGTCTGCACGGAAGAAGAAGAAGGAAAAAAAAAACAAATTGTAAATGAAGGAACACCTTTTGGTTTAAAAAAGTTTATTTATTTCCAATCTTTCTAAATGTTTTTTTTTCTTTCTGTTCTATTTTTTCTTTTTTTTTTTTTTTTTT